ATGATTACGACTTCGGGAAATAGAGGATGGGAAGGAACAAGCACTGAGGCTGCGTTGTTTTATGAGATCATTCCAATTCCTTGAAAATTTTTTTTTTAGTTTCATAGAATTTATCCTTAGTTTCTATTGATAGGTATATGTATAAAACAATACGAAAAGTAAAAAAATTTTTATGTAAAATCAAGTATTTTTTACATTTATTTTATCGGAAACCAATGTATTGTCGATGAAATTTTTCTTTTTTTAAATGAAATGAGAACTTTAATACAAAATTTTTGCTGAAAAACAAAAGATTGCGAAGCTCGTTGCGAAAGTCCTTGATTTGTAATATCGCCCGTCGTTATCGAGCGATCAAACAATTTTTTTTTTTTTTTTCTTTTTCCAAAAGTTCTGGTTAAATTAGAAAAGGATCAGGATAAAGATCCAAGGGAGCGAATGATTAACTTTTGTTCCAGAGTTAAATCCAAACCATTATCCGAAATATAAACATTCTATCCCAAATCCCCCCCTCCCCATAAAATCAAACCAACCGCCCAACACAAATTGCTTTTCTAAAAAAAAAAAAAAAAACTTGAAAATGTTGAAAAAAAAATGCAATTGGTTTTTCAAAAATAATTAAGATAGAATAATACATTGAAAATATTAAATTAAGATGCAAAATTGTCCACGAAAAGATAATGAATTGTATATGAACAAATGCATGAATAAAAAAAAAATATGCCAGGATAATGGTATTGATAAAAATAATAGAGAGAAATAGAAAGAATAGTATCAAGACTGAAATGAAATCGTAAATTGTTACTTTTTGCTTTTGGTTTTTTTTTAAAAATATCTTTTATGCAGTAGAAGAGTTCAAGGTCAAAAATTATGATACAACAATTTTTAATTAGACCACTTTTTTTCGGATTCAAGGTAGGGCACACGTTAAGACTACCTAATTTTTTCTTTGCATAACTCTTTTTATAAAACTACCTTTTTTTTTATAAAAAAAATTATTTCTTAACCTTTAAGGTTTTAGTTGTTGTTGCCTTTTTAACTTTATCCTTTCCACTTGAGGCAGTAGGCTTGGTTCGACTTGAAGAGGTCTTCGAAGCTGTCGATAATGCTTTCGGTGTATCAACCTTAGCTGATGGCCGCTTTTCCCCTCGTTTTGAATTTGCCGCGGCCGCGTGTTCCATCTCTTTAACCATAGAAGGGGCGTTCGACCTGTGATTATCCTTTCTGCGATTTTTCGGACATCCATTAGCATCCAGCAGATGTGCCTTCCATCCGGCTTCTGTTGCCGGTTTAACCACCGTTTTACAAAGTGGACATCGAACTATATCGTCTCTTATCACCAAACACGTTTGTTTCGCAGTGTGTTCTAGATAATCGTCGGCATCAATGACTTCTCGACAACGAGGGCATTGCTTTACAAACCTGCTCTTGTCGCAGTCGGTCAACATGTGATCGTCGAGCGTTGAAATTTCAAGGATCTTTTTAGAAAGGAGAGAATGAGCAACCAGATCACGTGTTAAGTTCGTAAATTCACTATAGTTTGTTTAATTAGAAATAACTTACGATATGACACAGGCGGCATTTGGTCAACACCGGACAGTCATTCCAGTAATGTGTGACCAGATTATCCTCGGTGAATCTGTCATTTTGTTCGTCACAGAAGATACAGCACCTAATTATAAACCAAGGATCGTAAATTGGTTAGAATCTTCGTTATCAATATAATATCGAAATCAAAGCGATCTTCAACTAAATTACCTGTCTCCTTTGGCCTCATTACTAGCTGATATTTCTTCAGGTTCATCGACAGTTTCTTTAATAATTTTATAAGGAAAATCAATGTCAGATAATCTTTTTTTAATAAAAGAAATAACAAAAATCGGAAATTTGAAATAAAACTTGGGAGGCGTACCTGAAATTGCCGAATTCTTTCGAACACTCTCGGACGATCCCTTTCTCGCAGGCGTAATTTTGGATGCTTTTGCCGCGGTGACTTTTTGACCATCACCTTTCAACTTCTTTACTGATTTGCCCGCTGGAGCAGCTGATTTACTTCCACGTGAAGCGGACGTCGCCTTCGTTGGTTGAGACTTTGACGGTAGAGGATTTTTCGGTTCAGGTTCTTCAGCTTTCTCAATTTCCTCAACCTCGGCCTCGTGATCATCATGTATAAGCATGGTTTTCGTCGTATTGGCTATGTATGTATCGTAATCATCTTTGATGATGCAATTTGTATTGTTGGCCAATGAGCGCAGTTCCATCAATTGTTGCTCAATGCGAGTTACTGTTCCACGCTTTGCCAATGGGGCCTTGAGCAAAGATTCGTCCACATCAAAATCTTTCAGAGCTTGTTTCTCTTCCTCCGTAAGACCTTTGGCTGTAATCTTTGGAGAATGTGGCGGTGAGGGTACTTGTCCTGCAACTTTACCCGTTGCCTCCTCATATTCAGTGACTAGGTTCCAGATATTCTCCAAGAGTAAAGGTTTTATGTCGGAAATAAATCTTTCAACTTTTTCTCTACCGACACGCTTAACAACTTCAACTACTAGCTTCACAGCGGAGTCACGAACATCTCCATTGTTGTTGTTAAGATAAGAAACGGATAATTGCATAACGGCCTAATTTAATAAAAATTTTTAAGTACATGCTACAAACAAAGGTGCAAGCAAAAAAAAAAAACAAACCTCAAGAGAAAGTCCACCTTCCCTATCAATCTTGCTCTTTTGATTTACGGAAATGCCAAATTCTTCGATCAATTTAGAGACAAGTTCGACCTTGGCCTTTGCTGTCTTAAGCGGTTGACTTGAAGTCTTTGCAGGTTTGAGGGCCAACGAGAGGATCGAATGATTTGGATTTCGGTATGTCTTGGCGAGGTAGCAGAAGAAATTGGTTGCGCTTTGTTTTATACGCGAGTTTGAATCCGATATCTTGCTAAACAACAAATCGTAGTTTTGTTCCACCAATTTCCAGGTATTTGATGTTGGCACTTGATGGTAATTGCAGAAATCTTTTGTAAAAAATATATATGATTAATATGAACGGGTTAGCGTGTGATTATAATTATGTTTGATTGGATCAAAGAAGAAACCAATGTTACCTGTTAGTGTCTCCCATAGTGACAATGTTGCCAACGTAAGTTTCTCTCGACAGTCATTCATAGCTTCTTGTATAATTTGGAAAGTAGCTTTGATCAAGGCCAACTAAGAAAACAGACGAATTATTTCTCAGTACCATGTCGTACGTGCCATATCCACATTACGAAAGGTCACGAAATAAGGACTTACTTTGTCGATACCCTCTACATCCTTTCCGTCGCCGTAGTTAACGTCAACTCTCTTGGTCACGTCAACCAATGCTGAGTCCCGTAACAGGAATTTTTTTGATAACAAACAGGCAACGACGTATTCCCCAAAATATTGAATGGACAGGGAGAATGCAACCCGAGCTAGATCAGATAGCTCTTCGGGGCCATCATCTAATGAAACGGTGGGTGCAATATTAGAGATTGGACAGGAATTTGAATTGGACAATGCCGGTAGGGGCCTTTCGTCCGCCGAAGGAACCCATTGACTTGGGGTCATCGGTGTCATCGGTTGATATCTGTTCGCGTCGCTGCTCGATCGACTCTTTGGAAGGTTTGCCCGATTTGCGGAAGCATTGCTGTTTGGTCGGCTTTTTGGAGCGGGCGTTTCCTAGAAATGATCCATTTTTTTATTACATCGTTTACGCAATACGTGAAAAGACGAGTCACTTCATCACATTGTTACTAACCTCGGTAACATCATCCGCCAATCCTATTATATCTGCCAATTGTGGGTCATAAACAATCACCTCTCCTGAATCATCCAAATCCAAGCCTTCGTCGAGAAGGGCGTTACGGATATCGTCCCTCAATGCTTCAACATCACGCTAGAGATCGAAGTTTTAATGAGGTTGACAAGTCAGCTAGATGGTTAACGGATTATGCACAATGTGAGAGGAAATAATGTAAATAATTGCCTTGTATTTTTCAGCATTATCAAAATCCTCTTCTTCGACTGCCTGTTTCTTCATGAGATCAAGTCTAATCGCGTCCTCGACAGCCTTGGTGACAAGCTCGATCGCGTATTTTAAAACCTTAGCCAGGTGAAAATCTTCCACTAATGAGTATTATTTTTTAAAGATAAGATTATGAGTAAACCTTTTTCGCGCATTACATGCAAAAACGACGGTCACAAACCTTTCACTGCATTTGCCTTTGCTCTGCCGAACGCAGCTAGCAACTGTGCTGTCCCATCTTCGTTCATCAAGAAGTCATTAGAGTTAATAGGGTTGGTGATTTTTTTCGGTGATTGGGATGACGGAGTTGAAGTATTATTTACTGTAGGAGATGGTGAACTTGTAAGGACGGAATGAATTGAGGGGACGTTGCTGGGATTGTTGTTCATCATCCAATAATTATCTTGAATGACTGGAACGATAAACACATCGGGAGATGCCACGCGAGACACGCCCTCGTCAACATGCTGTGACACGAAGAGCAAAAAATTTTCAGTAAAAAATCAAGTGATGAAGTGTGTTTAAATATCACAACTAATGGTGTGTACCTCTATCGGAATCTTTTGACTTTCTCCTGCGAGCAAATAACTGACAGGTTCTCCCATGACTGTTATTCCCACAATACCGACCTTAAAATAATGAAAGTCGATGTATTCGTTAAACGCGAAAGTCGTAAACTTAAGATTCAGGAATACGAAAAACAAATCCCATCCTACCTGATTATATTGGTTAAGATGATTCGGGTGACAACGACGAGCAACCAACCGTATGTATTCGCCTTCGGTATCAAGTCTTATGGACTTCAATTCCCGAGCCTTGTAGTTTGCTCTTTCGTTACTGTCAAGAGCACAGTAACTATCAATGGAAATAAAAGGTAAGAAAATAATTTTTAGATGAAGAACGTATCACAAGAAACTCGTGAAATCATTCGCACCCTAGTCTCCGAAAATGAATGTAAGGATCGCTGTTTGATTTTATGAGGTCGTAATCATCCTCCGGGAAGATTTCTTCTTCGTCAGAGCTTATTCCATCATTGTCTATGATTTTTGGTAATTTATCCCATGGTAATGTTCTTTTTTCATCACACCGACCACCAGTGTTTGTAGCCATTCCCACCATTTCCTTTCTTCGCTGTATAGACCCGACATATATCTCTAATTTTGATGCAATTTTATAATGATGTGATAATATTTGTAGTTTGCGAACACGGGCCGGTCCACACGTTACTTGTAATATGATTTCTTGGGGATATGTACAAAATCTATAATGATGTCGACATGGGCGTCACGAAAGGTGCAATCCAGATAGGTGATTGAATGATAATAAGGATCAAAGGAGAGGACGAAGGTTAGATGGTTGGTCGTTACAACGGAGCATTCGAAAAACAGAAACAGAAACTGTACCTCGCAGATTGCCATCCCTTGCCGTGTTTGATTCCTCCATTATTTCCATTGTTTTTATTATCCTTGGGCAAAAGCTGTTGAGGCGGATAACTCTCGTCCCAACCGGTTGCGTGTATAACCTCATATTCAAGTGTCTGCATTACGGGCGGCGGTAACGTGGTTACGTATTGATCGTCGTATGAAGTGATGTACGATGGTAGAGGCGAAGGGGTCTCGTTGTTTCTTAAAATGTTAATCAGTTCAATAGTTCCTTCTTTAAAACTTTCCGAATCCACGCCCGCGACAGTAGAATCGACGAATTCGGAAGCAGACTCGTTGATAAATAAAGGAGGAATTAAATCTTCTTCTTTGGAATAATGATCGAAAACTTCACACTCAATGGATTGTGACTTGGAGTTATCAGAATCTTGATTCTCAATATGTTTCGCTTCAATATTATCGACAGTCTCGTTTACTATAGGTTCTTTGGTAACCTCAGTTTCCTTTGGTAATTTTACAGGTGCAATACTACTCTCAGGAACTACGCTTTTCTTGTTCTCGGTTTTCTGGGATGACTTTCGAGATACGATATTTTCAGTAACAACCTTTTCCTTGGTAACCTCGGTTTTCTGGGATTGCTTTCGAGAAACTTGTGGCGCGGGTGGAACCTTGCTCTGTTTTTTAGGTTTTGTGGTAGTGGTGGTGGTAATTGGTTTGACCATTTTGGTTTTTTTTTTAAAAAAAAAATAATAAAGTGTTTTAGATAGATATTCTGATTGGTAAAATTTTCTTTTTTTAAAAGAAAAATAAAACAAAATAAAAAAAAAAAGAATTCCTATATCTCAAGAGAGTATGGTCGTAGGATTAAAAATGAATTCATTCCGGCATGACGAATCGTCTTTATATGAAATAATTTGACAACGAATTTCAGTCGAGAACAAAAAGAAAAAAAAATAGACTTTTTTCTTTTTCCTGTTCGCTGTCTAATCTAACCAAATTGTGATTGCACGCATTGTAATCCGACAATTCTAAAGCTTTTTATCATTGTACATGGGTGCGCTTGAGGTCCTGACTAACATTACGGAAAAAGTCAAGTCTTTGCATATGCATATCCAAAAGTCGTAAGGATGTTATTATGCAAAGTGTAAGCACGTGCATCGATCCAAATCATGTCAATCAAGGCAAGACGGGTTTTGAAAGCGGTGTCCATTTCTTTCGCAGTCCAAATTATGTTTTTGGCATTATTGGGCTGAAAAAGGGGTTGGTTTTTTTTTTCTCCCAATAATGACATTTTTTTTTTTGTGTCCAAACCTTATGATAATGCGTCTCTGGTGGAGACGAGTATGCATAGGAAAGCAAGCAAGAAAGAAAGAAAGAAAGAAAGAACGCAAAAAAAGAAGAACCGAAATGGGAAGCAATAAACCCAAAAAAGACGAGCCGGATTCAAAAAGGTAATAAAAAGAAGTAGAACGAAATGATAGATAAACCCACCTTTAAGAAATGAAAATTAGAGTGGAGGCAGTTTCCTCTTGTTGCGGTGTACCGTCCTCTTACGGATAATAAATGCGAAGTTATGTATACGGGTCTATATATTAATAGTGTCCTTTTTTTTTTTTGGTTTTGGTTTTTTTATGGTTTCTAAAGTTATTAATAAAGATAGATAGATAGATGATATTATTATTAAGTTTTTGTAAAGATACTTTTGAGAAGAGGGATAAAGAAGAAGAATAATAATATAAAAGAAAAAAAAAAAATGTAAGAGAAAAAAGATGATTCAAGTGAGAACTATATATTAAAAATGGATTATTATTTTTTTTTTGTTTTTTTTTGGTCTTTTTTTTAGAAAATAAAAAAATTGTTGAAATAGAGAGAGGTTGAGAAAGTCACGACGATAACTTTGGAAAAAAATCTTGGGGTAGGAATAATGAAAGAATGAAATGACAATCTCTGGGAGGAAGGGAAGAGAGGAAGAAAGGTGGAATTAATCAGTGCCAGCAAACACACCTCCTTTTTGTTAATCGGATTTCTTTTTTGATAATATTTTTCTTGTTTGTTTGGAGAAATTTTATTGAATGAACCTTTTTTTTTTTGGCGGGATTGATGGACGATTGTTGATACACAGAAAAAGGCGGGTGGTCGGACGAAACACGAAAATACTTGATTAGTCTTCTTGAATCGAATAGATAATTGGTCTGACGACAGAAATTAACGGACATTTACATTTACCTGGTCGGCCAATCCCTGTTAGAATTATATATTGTAATTTATTATATGCAGATCAACAACTGGTGATAAAATAAATTATTTATGCAGTCCGTTCGTTACACAGAAATCCTTTTTTCGGTCAAACTACCAGATGAAGGGAGGAAGGTAGAAAAAAAAAGCCTGAAGAAAAGGGAGATTTAACGCATTTATTTATAATCAGTTGATGGGCGCAGCCTTATTTATTTGCACAAATATCGAAATTACACACCCGACCCTCAATCAAGCAATTACAGTAGAACAACAAATATAAATTTAAATTCTCGGCATGACTATATATACTACATTCCATATATATATATATATATATATATATATATATATATGTGTGTGTATAAATTCCTGAATCAAAGGGTATTATTATTATTATTCATGTGCCTTTTGCGAATGAATGTTGTCAAATAATCCTTTTGACGGCAGAATTGACATCCAGAATCGGGAGGTCAATTGAAAACCTAGGTATAAGATAAACTGCGGGTGGGCCGTAGGTAATAATGATGATAATAATAATGGAAGCGACGAATGAGACAAAAGCATGCCATTATTATTGTGCGCAAGAAAAATGAAAAATCCAGTATTTGCGAAATTCCAAAATTTCCAAAAAACTTTTTTTGACTTTGCATGACGTAAAATTAATGAGCCCATTTTGCCAGCTTTCAATTTTACTGCATGACGTAAAATAATGAGCCGATTTTCCGGCTTTAATTAATTGTGAAAATTTAATTCCTGACAGGGAACGTGTTCACCTCCAAATCTAAAGTACGGCGTTCGTCTTTTATTACGCACGTTCCCCCCTTTTTTAAAGATCACCGCGCAAATTGCATGGGCTTGCTTGTCTCACTTCGTATGCACACGGGCACGTCAATTTCGAATTTCGCAAATGAATTTACGAACCGGTGCACCCTCCGACGTTCAAAATATGTACGCATATTATGCGCATACTTCTTCCTATTTCAGCTTTATAGCGGTCCAATACACGCATATCCTGCTTTCTAAATATACGATATGCGACTTGTAAACAATCCGTCATTTATTCCTGTCACTTCATAAAAGTGTGGAGTGTTTCAAATGAAGTGTGTGTGTGTGTCAGGATATAAAGATATTTGTCATATTATGTGTCCCATGTTTTTGTGTACATTATGAGGTTAACCAGTATTGGTTTGCTTTGTGTGAGGTTGCAATAATCGAGTACGGTCGTACACAAAGAAATAGAGTTGTCCATTTCTTTTTTGTCGTAATAAAGCTCTATTGAGTTTTCTTTGGCATGATTCAATAAACACACAAGCAGCTTAGTCAGTTGCGAAAAAGATTTTTCAACTATCCGCAAAGTCGATTATCATTGATGCACTCTCGTGAGTAGTTTATTACGTTAGAGATGGATGTCAATAAACAATCTCGTGACCCTCGTTTTGGCTAAGTTGTAGGAATCGTAATTGATGCCATTTTGAACGCTCGATGATGAGGCGCTTTCATCTCTTCCTCTCGGCGACCTCCTCGTTTGTTGATTTCTTCTCAACATCGCTCTCCACTGTAGATTGGTGCAAGATGTAAACAAAGACAAAGGCTATGCGCAACAAAGAATGCTGTAAACATTCTGTCATCTGACGCCGGCATGATATGGTATAATGCATTCAGATGTCGTCCTGTCCAAAGAAAAATGCGCAAAAGGAATGGCCGAGAATTGAAAATGGTTTTGGCGTGAATGTCAATGTTTTAGGCGAATCTATGATCAAGTTTCGCACCGCGAGGGTCAGAGAACTTGTGACGTGCGTCAGTTCAGAGAGGCATCTTTATTTATCCATTGATATCATTTTGGTGACAATGCGTACGCCAAACAAAATGTATATGTACTCTAAATAAAAATAGTAAAGCATCAGATTACAATAATTATGTGTTTTTCGGCGTTTTCTATTATAATTTATTTTTTTTCTCTTCGCTTTTGTGTCAGAGATCAAGGTCGTCGTCGTTGAAATGCTTCGATCGGATGCAATTGGGGCATTGAAGGTCGGTGCATACGATGAGGAGTTGCAGAACTGTTTCCTGTTTCAAATGTGCCTGCTCAGATGTGCCTGCAAAACATTATTTTTAACTTTTGCGCCAAAAGAGCGTCTGAAAAGCACGTTCACGTCAAAGGAAATGAACGAAGTACAATCGCGTGTATTGCAGAGGTGAATGATGGATGCGTTCGTTGCATGATTCCGCATCGTGCTTTGAAAATCACACATCATATCGTCAGTCCATCGGCGGGACTTCAAGACACGTACGTACATACATACATACATACATACATACAGTAGATGCGCACAACGCGCACGGCGTCAATTTGGACTTATCGAGTTCTTCCGGGAATTGAAAACTAAACACCTGGCAATTAAGTCCACCAATCAGGTCTGACCTGAAAACTTGTTCGCCACCAACAATTCGAGGACTTTTTGAGTTTCGTTTGGTGCGATTGCCTATAAAACCCACACGAAGTGAGAGTTGTGTGGGAAAGGGATACGCACCGAACGATCATTCAAAAGAGTACAGGAATAATAAGTGAAGGCCAAGCAAAGAAAACACAAGGTTCTTCTTCTTTATTTGGAGATTAATTGAACAATGACATATTTCCAAACCATTGAAATAGTGTGTACAAACAAAAGGATCTGTGGTGGCGAAGGGTTTCCTAAAATAAGCACCATACAAATTAAGAAGAAAAACGCGAATATGACACAATGTGTAAACCAAGATTCTTAACAAGCTTTTCTTTTTGTTTTGAATCTCACGAAAAGTTCCCCCAAAATTTATTACAGTACTACGGATGATAGTTCAATCGGCCATGAAAGAGATCATTGAAACTATTTATTTTATTTTTTTTGGTGAAACTTGGAAAACTTAGCGGTAGTGCGCCGTGCGTCGGTTGTTTGGTAGGTGGCTGATCGACGCCTGTAACAATCCTTTATCGATTCGTAGCAAGATTTTGATTGGTTTCTTTACCTGACTCTTAATTTAAACTTTTTTCCACTCATTGAGTTACCATAATAATTAAAGTTTCGGTTCTTTATTAGACTCACGATAATGGATTAAGAATTAAGGAACTTTGGATTATTTGCGTCTACAACTTGACATTGTCCATTGACGATGAATGGCGCACATCTTTGAACAACCATTGGAAACCTTGAAGCCTCTAACGATCATAATATTTAAGCACTGCGAAGAAATCAGAGACCAGTATATTATTCGTTTAATGCGTGATGTAACTAACAAACATCTTAGTATGAGGTCGATTCGGTTCTATTTTTATCCAACGGTGAAAGCCTTCACGGTGTTGCAATAAAAATAGTGTTCGGCTATTCACGGCTATTCATGGCTATTCATATCCGCACAATTTGTGATCCTTTCTAAGCACAGTGCGCTTCCGCCCGACTAGGATGAATGAGACAATAACTCAATCGTTACATTACATAAAAGGAAATAACAAAGAATGAAGTGAATATAAGAAAAGTAATCATCGAATGAAAACGGGTGCATCATGCCGCAGTAAAACTAAGATTAGAAAAACATAAAATAGTAGTGCGACAATAGGAAAATGAGTTGTGTGTATGCTAATAATGTATTAATGTATGCGTGTAACTTCTACGTTTACAACCAGAATTGGAAGATCAAATGACCATAAACAAATGATAAAAATGCGGAGAAAATTTATGCCTCTAACCACGTTTTCGAATTGATCTTAGTCCAAGCATCAACGATACACATCGATCTCTTTTTTGAGATAATAGCTCAGGGAAATGTGAATTGTTCACCGACACACAAAGATTATAAAATTAGAACGCGAGTTGTTCCCTCTCACCTTTCATCGACGTTTACCACAATATTAAAATTTCTCAGGTATTATGAAACGGTACCATATTCCGAATTCGAGACGACTGACTTATGTATTCCCATTTATGGTAACATCAATTTCCTTTATCCTTGGTGTCACCATGTAACGAAAATTAATATTATTCCCTTTGCTATTATGAAAATCGAAAATTGTTCCTCGCATCAAAAAAGATCCGTATCCTAAACCGAAGACCGACTCACGTTATTGCGATCTTTCACGATCACACTTGCGTATTTTCCGTCTATATGGCCGCGGGGCAACATATTAATTTTATTAAAATTGAAATAGTCGGCTGATGCTATAATTCTGGAGTGTGAAATCCTGATTTTGGGTCGATCCCAATTGTTGTTTTGCCTATTGTTCCTTTTCATCCTATTTGTATCATCCTGGTTGTTAATAGAATGTGTCAGTGTAAACACATGGAATTATTACCTCTTTGGTACCCCCAGGGTGGATCGCATCAGGTTTTGATAATTCACAAAAATTATTGTGCGACCTTTCGTAACAACGACGATCTGTCATAATGATTTGTATGACCAAACTTCTGGTCACACATGTATTGTAAAATTTTTTATATACTCTCGCAATGAATGACACGAAAGTGATGCGAATGTGACCCATTAAAATTTTAATAATAATGTGTCTCCTTTACATACTGTATAACATGTTAATTAATAATAGATACTGCGTGTTCTATGGATCGGTACAGCTAACTCGTCAAGGTGTTCTTTGGCGAAATCCCATATGAAAAAATCCAATGTAATCGCATTTAATTTTGGTATCAATTCGTGTGTGTTGTCGCGTTCGATCCTCTCTTTTATAGCTCTCCTCAAAAGTTCCACTGCCCAGATGGAGCATCCGCGAATTTCTTTTTCCAACCTGGAACCATTTGGCAACAGAACGAATGACTCTAATGTTCTCAAGAGGTTATCGGAATAAGAGATGGCGCCTAGATGGTGAAGAGCCTGAGGAACTCGATAATCCGCAAACATCGTGATTTCATCGATATCATCAAATTTCCCAAAACCTTCGCCCTCAAAACATGCCCAAATATCTGCAATCAATATCTGCGCACGTTTATAAAACACAACTTTTTCGCCGTTAAATGTCGATTCATCCCTGAATGAACTAAAATTCTCGATGATAATGTCCAATAATTTCATACACGAATTTCTTGCCTCCTTGATGCAATTAATGAAACTTCCTTCAAATCTCTCCACCAAAATCTTTCCCGCTTCTCTGATGCACCTGATCCGCTCATCCAACAATGGCATCTTTTCTTGTGTAGACGAGCGGAATACATGGGAAATGTCGAGATCCGATAGTTTCATCTCGGATGAATAGAATGATGGTTTTGTAATTGACATTCCTTCATCAAGCGCTCGATTAATTGCTGCGCACAGCGACCAGTATCCCGTGTACTGTTCACCCTTGTAACCAATTGAAAACCTTGAATTCCGTGCCTCCCCTTTTTCATTCTTTTCCTCATCGAGTTCTGACCAAAATGAAAAATTCAACAAATCCACCAAAAAGATCCAATCGATCGCCTCTTCGTCAGCGACTTTAGGGTGAAGTTTATGCTGCTTCCAAATTGTGTAAGAGTACCTTTTGTTTTTCATGATTTGATATATGGAACTCGCAGCTCTCTCGATGCCCTCAGGTGGGATGACAACATCCTGACTGTTTTTACTAATGAAATATCCGCTCTTCAATACCGGGTTCAAGGACCCTTGCAAATCCTTCTCGTCATCTCGAGATGCCATGGTGGAGGAACGTTTGTTGAGTCTTTTTGAATCTTACAAATTCGTATATTCGTATATATATAAACTCGGGTTCCGATATCTGTTTGTTTCCGATTGGTTTTTATCGCGCAGTTTTCACATTTAGCGAAAAGGTCGATAGGTAGGAAACCAACAAATCCCAAATTTGTTTCATTAAAATAAATTTGTTACATCTAGATTGATTCCTAAGAGGTCCTGTGTCACGTAATTAGTTTAGATGCAATTCTAATGATCAACGTGTTGCTTCATGTTTTTAAAAGGATAAAGCCGTGGTTGCCAGATAAACAAAATTGATAAAAAAAAAACTTTTTAAAAAAGTAATAATGAACAAAGTGAAAAAATAATGTCTTTATTTTTTAATTCAATTCGATCTGTACACAGTATACTTGGTATTAAAAAAACAAAAATGATTTCAATCCACAATATACAGTATATGCGCAGCATTTATCAAACATGAAATTTTCGGATCGAATATCTACCGTACGGTATTGAACAGATCTTATTATGAATAGAAGATTATTTGAAAAAAGATCGTAACGACGATGACAAAGAAAAAAAAACCCCCATTTGAATGAGTTGAATGGTAAAAAAAATAATCGATTTAAACGACATTGGTCCAACACCAAGTTATCATCATTCCATTCATTGCGGAAGATCGGATTCGTATCATTTCACATTGAAAATTATCCACAAGAATCACCGCATACATTATATACAGCACATCATCCATCACAAATACAATATACAGTATGATATATTCGATCGATTGAATTTCTTTTTCTTTCTCTCTTTTTTTTTTAAATGAAAAAGTATCGAGATAAAATATGGTAGGTGCAGTAGATGAGTAATAATTATCTTTGATCCTAAATCAATAATCCCAGAATCATTATCTGAAGTTATGTGATTAGAAATTATAAATTTATACAGTTCAGGACAAAAAAAAAAAAATTTTTTTTCATCTTTAAAAATTATAAGTGTAATCAATAATTTTTATTAGAATCCTATTTACTTATGATTAGTAATATTTATTTAATTAATTGGTTTTTTATTTGTTATTTAAGTTGCTGTTCAGATTCTCTTTTTAAAATCTTTTATATAGTGCAGCCAACTACTTAAAATAAATATGGTCAAATTTTTATATGTAATGTAACTATATGAAATCAATATAAATAATTAATCAATCATATGATATCAAAAAAAATGTTATTAATAAAGCATCATTTGAATTATTTAAAAAAAAATTTGTCAAATAAAACATGAAAAACAACAAAATAAACAAAATAAAAAATTTCAAACTAAATATGTTAAATTACAAGTTGAAAATAAAGATAACTAAAAAAATTCAGGTTTGAATACTATATATTATATAATATTATATTTGTATTATATTAATAATATACATATAAACAATTTTGTTAATCAGCTTTGAAATTTTTTCAATACTTAATTTTTCTAAATATATATGATATATAATATTGAGATTTGATTGGTTTATTATCAATTTACATAATATTATATCCAAATCAATTTGAGATTTTTCTATTAAAACAAATCAATTTCAAACTATAATAACTGAAAAAATAAAGAAATAAACCATAAAAGCTCTTTATATTTTTGTAAAGCTTATCAAAATCTATCATAATATAAAAGTCTTTTATAATAGCATGTCTCTAGTCAAAGTTATTGATCTTTAAATATTGTCTTTAAAATTTGTTATCTATAAACTTGATATACTATAATTCACAAAAAAAAACTCTTTCCCGTTCACTCCACTTTCCTTAAAATTTCCTTTTTAGGAAATACTCTTTTTCAAAACGAAAGAAAAAGAGGTTTCTACAATGGAACACACTCCAATATCCCTAGATTAGCAGCACAACACTGTACTCTCTCTGGAGATATAGCTCTTGCTGGTAAAGAAGTTGTAAAGGCCGAAAACAGCTCCCTTTATCCTCAAACAAGTGCCTTGGATGGCAAGCTGAAAGTACTATCGGGGTTATGTGTTGGCTCCTTAATGACCAAAGAAGTCGGGTGGTATTTCTCATACAGCTAGAAGATACAGGCTAACAAACAACAAAAAATAAAAGAACACACATTTATCCGAACGGGCGACATATTACAAGTACCAGACATTCTCCACTCTTTCTCTACGAACTTTGACTATGGCGCAGTATTGTATTCCTTTGTGTTGGGGGGTATAATACCTTGCGACTGAACTTCATCTGACCATAATGGATAGCAACGGTGGCACACCACTTGAATCAGGAAGCAAACGGCCAATCCTAGTTGGAGATTTTTCGGATAGTACAAAAATCTGCAAGAAGGCGTAAGGAGTATGGGTAGATCTCACATATTTATAGAATACAAAAATTCACATATAAACAGGTTTTAGTAGTTTTTCCTTTATATGTACAAATTAAAAAGATTTTTTTTTGACCTAGTTAGAGCCAATGAATTTTTTCATTGGATATGACTAGACCGCGGCTGACTGTATTTAGATATGGTCTTTTAAGACTCTATTCATCGGATGGTGGGTGGAACTTAAAGGCGTACATCTAGGCACGTTAGCACTTCACCAATCTTATTAGGGTTAATGCTTGCATTGGTGCTGGTAAGATCGGATGAATGAGGGGCAACAAGCCGGCCGGTAGACATAGTCTTAGGTAGTTTAGCAGATAGCCAAGTAGGCAAATTTGTATTCAGCAAATTTAAAGTTCTACAAACCAATATCTAATAAACAAGGCGTACGCCAGTCGTGTTAAAAAAAAAAAATATATATAATATATAATAATATATATAATATATATAATATATAATAATATATATAATATATATAATATATAATAATATATATAATATATATAATATATAATAATATATATAATATATAATATAAATTATTTATTATTAAAAAAAAATAATTTGTGAATCAATAGTATAATAAATAATGCTTTCAGGTTTTCAAATACATATCTCTAGTTTAATACTTATAGAAGCAAAATATATAAATTTTATAGATTTATCAATTTTTTTACAAATATTATACTCAAATATCTGGATCTAAATCAAATTAATAACTAAAATTTTTAATGGCATTTTGTAACTGTATCTGAATATGAAGAATATTTATTTGTTAAATGTTGATAAAGTTTTTGTAATTTTTTATTTTCTCAAAAATTTCCATATTAATAACAAATTGCTTAATAATGTCCATTACTTTTTCTTTTATCTCTATTCATATAATTTCAAACAATATTATTTGATTTTCCACTATTATTTTGTTTATTTAAAAAAGATAATATTTTCATCAAAAAAAAAAAACTGATTATATAAAGCTTTAAAAATTAATTTGAAAAGTTTTTTTATTTATTAATTATTGAATTTTATATATTATTTTACAATTTTGATTATAAAATTAATTATGTTCTCAATTATGTTTATCAATTATATTCTCAATTTCAATTATAAAATTTTTAATTTAGATTATAAAATTTTTAATTTTGGTTATAAAACTAATTATGTTCTCAATTATATTCTTTAATTATATCCTTAATTTCAGTTATAAAATTTTTAATTTAGATTATAAAATTTTTAATTTCAGTTATAAAACTAATTATGTTCTCAATTATATTCATCAATTATATTCTTAATTTCAGTTATCAATTCAATTTCAGTTATAAAATTTTTAATTTAGGTTATAAAATTTTTAATTATAAAATTATATTTAATTATTAAATTAATTATATCCTATAACCTAAATTCTTAAAAGGATATAATTCAATTTCAGTTATAAAAATTTTAATTATAGGATATAATATATAAATTTTGAGTCCTATCTTTAGTTATAATTTACTTATATGAATTTATAATTAATTTAAATATTAAACTAGTATCAAACAAATATCAAAGTAATATCATTAGGAGTCTTATTTATTTTATTTTATTTTATTTTATTTTATTTTTTTTGAGGAACAAAAACAACCATTAGTCTCTGACTTTTTACTATAAGTAACTTGCCATTACAACAGTATTATAAATTGCTAGACTAAATTACATTTCTCTTTTATAAGAAAAGCTTAATGCTAGGCTCAAAAATTAGCCCTTTGTCTAAGTACTTATTTAACTATCCAAGTTTTATAACAAACATTCCGAAACACCTACAAATTCTTGAGCAGTATCTAGCAGGGAGTTAGAAAATTAGGGAGCACCCAAATACATGAAAGTGTTGCAATCAATATACAGGTTTGCTTTCAAGTCATGGTTGGGATTTGGCATGCTTGCTTTTCAAAGTTAACTTAATATATGACAAGTAGAGTTAGAAAGAAAGAAATATAGATGGTACTATCTTAATGCATGAAGGCACTGCAACCACTTTATACAGGTTGGCCTCCAAATCACAAAAAGGATTTGGCATATCCATTGTTCAAGTGTGGCGAAAGTATTCAATAAATAGAGTTGGATTGAATTTTCATATAGGCATTGATACTTAACCTTGCATATAAAACCTATATTGTCAAGGAATAAATGAATCACTAGTTAAAATAGTGCCATTTGGCATGCTGCCACTCGTCAAACATTCAGATATAACATTTGGCATAATATTATTTGATAAAAATTTGGCATAGTACCACTTGGAAAAAATTCAGCATATATCAAATTATAAAATAATATTTTATTTTTTGTAATAATTATAATAAAATAATTGTAAAAAAAAAATAAAAAAAAATTTATAGTAAATTATTTTTAAAAAAATTAAATTTAGATAAAAATTGTTTTATGCCTAATTATAGCTAAATTTTAGTGATTTTAAATATTATACTTGTGGTTTAGTAAAATTACAGCTAAATATTTACAAGAATAAATCAGCCAAAAATATTGTGAATAGGAATTATATATTCATGTTTAATTGGGTAAAATTCAGTATTCCATAATTCAATATTCATTCATTTTCTGAACCAAAATGAAATCTTACATCTGCCGAATTA